GAAGATGAGTGATAGTTGCTGGACTACTACAATCTGGACATCTTCCAGACGTCAGGCACGACCAGGATGCGTCAGCAGTTTGGTGATAACACCCCTTCTAAGAACGGATGTCAAAATGGGGGACTCGCTTCACCAATGGAAACTATGGCATCGAAGATATGCCGAGGTTTCTGGTTCTCTGGTCACGGCGTCGTCCACTATAGCACCCTACCCAACAATGCCACAGTGACGGCAGAGACCCCTCTAAAGAATTACAGGAGGTCAAGGTGAAAGCTGCCGCCTTGTCCCAGAAACTTGCAAATCCGGTGTTGCTCTGGACAACGCGGCCGCCCCACAAAGCGAGAGATACTCAGGCCGTCCTCGACAGGCTGGGCATCAAGACGTTCAGCGCATCCACCATAATAGCCGGACATCAGTCTATGCGATTACCACATCTTCCGGTCCATGCGAAACTTCCTGGACGGAAAACAGCTGAAGAACGAGGCGCGACCTCGAGGACGTGATCGAGGAGTGCGCGGGCTGGCCGGCTTCTGAGAGGATGGAGTTGCCGTCTCTACCGCGATCGTTGGCGAAAGGTGGTGGGTATGCATGGAGATTAATCTCTCTCTTTGGTTGGTAGAGAGCCGGACGAATCATGAAGACGCTTATCAACAATTCGCTCAAAAATTTTCATGCTGTGCGAGAGCAAGCGAATTGGACGATAATTTGAGCAGTCTGCAGGACTGCCTTTTTCTTCCAGATCGGTACCGTTGTGCTCTCTTGCCATACTTCGGGCATTTTCTTATCTGCAACGACCTGGTTGAAGAACGTCAACTATTCGGCAGCATGCCAGCAGTGTGAATTCCATACTTTGGCCGCCACGTCGTCAGGGCCCGTTGCCTTGCCTGACTTCATCTTCTTGAGAGCCGCCTCCGTTTCCTCCACGCTTATCTTCTGAACGGGACCGTATGTTTGTAAGGCGCAGGGGATGGCCGGGTGTTCATACTCCACTGTGGAAATTTTTCCGAAGTAGTCGCGCCATCGCCTCAGCACTTTGTTCGGTTTATCAAAAGGCGGCCTTTCTCGTTCTGATGCCGAAGAACTTCCCTACATCTTCGGTCTCGTGGTGACGAGCCTTGGCGAGTCGGTAGATGTGCCGCTCGCCATACCGCGTTTCCAGCTTCCTGCTGATATATTCGAAGTGAGCGGCTTTTGTAGCAGCCAGAGCCTTCTTTGCCGTACTTCTCGCTTCCTGATACTTCCGCCAGTTGTCAGCTGACTTGTCTTTGAGGAACAAGTGATAGCGCTTCTTCTTCTCGTGAACCTTTAGCCTTATGTCATCTGTCCACTACCATGCCTGCTTTTCTGTTCTACACCTTCCAGCTTTCGTTGTGCCAAGTTCGGAATGAGCGGCATTCTTCCATGTTTCATCGACAGTTGCGACAGTTGCTAATCGAATGCGAGAGAACACAGCTGCCTCCTTCTCCTTCAAACGCCACCATTTGATTCTTCCAGGTCCACATCGCTCTATCTGATTCGATCTGGGTGGTTTTATCTTCAGCGTACAGACAAGCGGGCGGTGTTGCGAGGCTACTGCCTCATACGGCACGGTCTTCGCATCTGTGACAAGTCCTTGGTTGCGATGTCTGATCCTTGGTTCCGATGCCTGACAAGAACAAAGTCTACTTGTGTTCTGGTGTTCCCGCTTAAAAAGGTAATCAGATGGGAGTCGCGTTTACGGAACTTTGTGTTCACGATGGCGAGCTTATGGGCTTCTGCGTATTCCAGTATGCGTACGCCATCGACGTTACGTGTTCCATAACCAAAGCTTATGACAACTGTAACCGTATTTCGTTGCGCCTACTTGCCAGTTAAGGTCACCAGCGATAATTACGACGTCTTCTGACGGCACCTCAGCTGTCTTCTCCTCGAGCAAAGAACAGATCGTCCTTTGATTGTTCGATGCATCCCGTCTGTGGATCATATGCCGAAAAGAAAAGGTACAGTCGTTGCTCGACGCTAGAACAATCTTCATCAAACGATCGTCGAAACGTTCCACGCTAGCTATCGAGTCACGCAAACGTTGAGCGACGATTATGGCCACTCCGTTAGTAGTCCTCGGCTGGCCGCAAAGAACAGCTTTGAAGCGGCGACCAATGTTTCTCGACTTGCAACTGGACCATCTTGTTTCCTGCATTGCACAGAGATAGATTCGTTTGTGCCTCTGCCAATTCACATAATTGTCCGGTCAAGGTTCCCACGTTCAATGTTGCAGTACGGACTTTGCACGATACACTGCCTGAAATTTGGACTAGCCTGGTCGTCTCCGATTCCGTCCTTGCACCGAGGACCCCTGCATACTTTCCACACTCGCCGGGCCATACGAGCGCATGTCGGCTCCTGCGGACGCCGTAGCACATCGCGATCTATCGCGATATACCTATGGCATTATCATTATCGCGATATACATATGGCATGATCAAACATGTTGATGTGACATGGATGTTCGTAGGCCGGCCCGTCACGGAGGCCTGTCACCTGCATTCGTGTGTCTGCGTTTAGCAGCTCGCAAAGCGAGCAGTATCCAATGGCACTGCGGGCAGGAGCAGATGTTACCACCTCACGCCAGTTTTCAATGTGTATTGAAACAAAAATTTCCGAGAATACAAAACCGTTTACTGGATGAAACTTCTATTTCGTTTGCAGAGGGCTCGCCATGTTCATGAATATTCATTACCAGCCGGCTTCGCCGCGCTCATCTTTTTCCACACATCTCAATACCCCCTATATTCGGCTTTTCGTTCATCTGAACGGAAGATAAACATTATTTCACCAATAGCACCATACCTGCTACTTTCAACGCTATAACGATGCATGAAATGGTGGAAAGAGCGTTGATCAAGTGGACAGATGAGAGGAAAGCCGGGTATTTGTCCAGCATTTTACCAACGAATGCAGTAGGCGCGACGGTGCCACGCCCCGCAAGACTGGGCTGTATCACAAAGGAGGTCTGGAGTGCCTGGAGTGCTCTGGAACCGCTTGAGAAATTTCTAACACTGGCCCCGCTCTCGTCAACGCACGCTCCGCCCATAACGTATGCCTCGCGCTTCTCAACGGGAGTGCTCTGGAGCCGCTTCGCGGATTTTTTGAAATCGGCTCCACCCACCTTGGTGCAGGCTCCGCCCACAACGGGAGTGCCTCGCTCATTCCTACATTTGATCATTTGGGGACCATAATCCACTTTTTGGCACCGTCTGCAGTGATTTAAGACCAAACTACCCCTTTTTAGACTGTTCCTCGTGCTCAGATGCACGCCCCGCAAACGTGGATGGGCCTCAGCACGCCGCAAACATAGTAGACTCTTGCAAGATATTCTTCTTCGTCATGGACTTTTCTGGGCTCTCTAAACATTTTCAGGGACCGAGTTACCCCCAGTTACCCCCCCCCTCACCAGCGGCACGCTAGCGCACGCTGGCGTAGCGAGGGCACGGGAAGCATAGGTATCGATCTAGCTTCACCAGCGTTTCTCGAGCGTTTCTCCAGCGTTTCTCCAGCGGCACCAGCGTTTCACTAGCGCTTGCAGCGGCAGGGAGTAGAGACTATGGGAGAGCTGGAGAGTACAAAACACAACGATTTCTCGTAGTGAAATGTGGCGCGTGTAGTGCACCACATCAGTTGGCACTACCGTACTCCCAACGATCAATACCGTGAGTTGAGTGTTGAAACTGATGTTTTCGTTGTTTTTGTTTGTTGAAAAGTGAAAAAGCAAGGACACTTTGCCTAAGAAAGACTCAGAAAAAATGAACGAAATTCATCATCGAAGCCACAGTCCGCAATTGCAAATCGTAATCACATAAACAAAAGTGAAAAAAGCAAGGGCATTCTGC